CGTAAAATAAATGATGTAATAAAAGTTGTAGCGTTTTTCTAACGGAGTGTAATTATGTGATATAACAAAATGATTATCCAAATTATTTTGATTAAAGTTAGTAAGTTATTTTAATTAAAAATTTTGTGGGCAACTAATACCTTTTCAGTTTCGGTCCTGTGATGTGGCTAACTTATGAGATAAAGTCCCATAAGGCGTATTTGCCGCGTATCACGTACCAGCGTAACCAATCACTAATCAGTAAAACACGAAACCACAACAGTGAATTGCTTCTGAGTCTCTATTCTTGAAAAGAAACGTATATAAAAGTCTAGGAAAATACTACATATACGTATTACATATACTATAGTATTTTCCTAGAATTTCGTATATGTTTCTTTTCAAGAACGGAAGATCTAATTGAATACGCGATACGCGACAAATATACCTCATGAGACTTTAACCTGACGTACCTTTAACTCTTGACGATTAACGTATTAACATGTTTGTGATTTGATCAATGATTACCATGCTTGCAATGGAGTTTAATTAGAATCGTAAAATTTAAGGGATAATATCTAGTAGGTGAATACCTGAAAATATAGGGTAACTTTGTGAATTTTTTATAGTCTAATAATAAATTGAGTGGAAATTTAGATTGAAGGCCCTTAATGTACATATATCTAAGGACACAAAATAATTTTTGTTTAATTTTGTTGTATCAAGATGGTGGCGCTGAAGCTCTGCAAGCGAGACTGCGTTTTTCTCATAGGCCTCTGGGGTTTGCAGCAGAAGTGTCGTACACTTTCACTAGGACAAAAAACAAAATTTTTTAATAATCTACTTAAATTTGCTAGAGAAGTACACACCTGTATGTTAAAATATTAAGTTTGTTCGTGTTGCATACTTCAACATGTTCTTACCATAGCTTCTACTCATTCTAACGCGTTTGAGTGAGTAGGAGCTACGGTTGGAAAAAGTAGGAGCATGTTAGAGCATGCGACGCGAACAAACCTATTGATTTTTGTAGAAATGGTAAACATGTGGCTACAAAGTTTTTCATCCAAAAAATTCAATAAAAAAGTATTTATAACAAAAAAAGTTTTTAACCGATCGCAAAAATCATGTGTACTTTTCTAGAGAATTTAGTTTAGCAATTGCTGTAAAAATTTTAAGTGGATCGGATAAAAAAAAGTTTGTTAAAGTTATGCTGCAAACCAATTACAAAAACATGGTTTCGAGAAAAACGTGTTTAAAATTTTGAATAACATTTCATATTTAATTATAGAAATTTTTAATTTACCTTTAGTCTGCGATGTCTGCACCATACAACTGTCCTTCCGCATTGATATTTGCTTCCTTTTCCTCTTTTTTAAAAGATGTGGAAGCTCTACGAGCATCCTTAGCGACATCTGTAAACGAGCGCTTGGCAAACTTGACGCGGCGCGCGTCAGCCTTAACGCAGAAATTATAGCCTATAGTCAATATAATACTTGCATAATTTTCATTATACTTGACAATCCATCATTGAAAATGCAAGTTGCGATATTTACAGCGATGTTTTTTTTTTCGATTATTTTTTTACCACTTGAAGATGTTTTCGAAGCGAGCGACCACACAGTTGAATTGATGAAAATCCTCGCTTCCTTCACGTCCTATCGCCAGATACAGTAATTCTAATATATTCTTTTACTGTCGATAGTCTCTTCTTCTCTTCAGCTAGTTTCTTAATACATTTCGAACTAACGTTGATATTATGTATCTACGGAACACAGAAGCCTTAAATTGCGCGCTTCTCCAATGCGCTTAGATAGCGTCACGCTGCGCTTTAAAAAAAACCGCTGTAAAACCACTTAAAAAATTTTTTTTGCATATAAGATTAATTTCATCTTATTTTTAAGACTCTAAAGCATCATTTCAGACAAAAAAAATTTTTTCGATTATTTGAAAATTTTCAAATAATCGAACCTAGATGTTACCCCTTAATTTAATACGATTATTAGAACTGTATTCCAAAATTCACAGCCAGTGCTGAAAATGTGTAGTATAACATAAACTGTAGATTTTCAGCGGTGAATTTTGCCTAGATTTTGCCTAGAAACAGCCTAGATCTATTTCTGTTAGTATACATCTATACGAGATGAAAAAAGAGTAGCCACTTATAGAGACACCCTGTGTGTATACCTTGGGGAAAGAAATTGCTGAAATTGTTGGAATCGACAATAAAATCATTGAAATGAGAAAATTACTGAAATATTGTTGAAAATATTTCGACATAAATTGTGTGATACTTTTAATCTTGAAATACTATGAATTTTAATAATAATTAACGAAAATTTATGAAAACTAATGCAAATATATTTAATATTCATATTAATTTATTCAGAGATATTTAACACTGAATTGTACTGAAATATACCATGAATCCTAAATTATTGAAAGTGCGTGAAAAAAAAATGAAACGCAAGATATATAATACTTTTACAGTGTATTGTACTCTGAAATATGCTGAAATACTATAAATTCTAATTATTTTTGTATGTATAGCTTTATACAATAGATGAAAAAATGGATGACGACATATGTCATAATGTAGATCCTAAAATATTAATTAAACTTTATTTATTAAAAAATATTAATCCGTTTTTTCGAGTTATTCGAGTTACTATATATATGATATGCCGGTCCCAAATCAGTTGATTATTAACTAGTAAAATTATTAACAGTATAACAAAAATCGATTTTTTTTCCCCCCATGAAAAAATCAAAGAGATTCTAAAAGTTCATGTAAAAAAAACTACCCGTGTCTCGGCGTTTTATCAAATCAAGTCGTTAACGTTTTTTATACAGCCATTTATCGTATTTGCTTCATATAGGCTTTGTACAATTGTTTTAAATTATATAATAATTTTTTAAAATAAATAATTGACGTTTTTGCATGTGAAATTATGCGGTGAGTCTGAATACCAAAAAAACAACAGAATTATTTTTTTAAATATATTTTCAAATTTTTGTATAATGAATATGAAAAAAATAATTCTCAGTTTTTTTTTATTCGGACTTATCGCATAATTTTACATGCAAAAACGTCAATTATTTATTTTAAAAAATTATTATATAATTTAAAACAATTGTACAAAGCCTATATGAAGCAAATATGATAAATGGCTGTATAAAAAACGTTAACGACTTGATTTGGTAAAACGCCGAGACACGGGTATTTTTTTTTTTTTACATCTACTTTCAGAATCTCTTTAATTTTGTCATGGAAGGAAATGTGTATTGTACTGTGATATCAATCATTTCTATCTTATGAAAAAATTGTCGAGCATCAATTTTAAACGTTACAAACAAAAATAGTGACATAATGTTCATTGCTATGTGGCAAACTGTTTCACAATACTGTAAATTTGTGGTATTTAACGGCACAATCCTAAATCGGCTTCAGTTTGCACAAAAGATTCGAGTTTAGAAAACTTTTGGATACTTCGTCATTGTTGGATATACCTATGTTGTTGAAATTTAAAAAAAAATTCTACTTCAATTGATGGTATTTTAAATAAACCTGTATAAATTCTCATATTTATTTTACACATATACACTCACACCGATGTTACGGTGTGTTTTATACATATACATAATAGAAGGACATGACGCACATACTATAATAGATATTAATAAATTTCAAATTCATAGAAGTAACTAGAAACTTACTTAACACAAAGGACAACATGTAAAATATTGCAAATTCCATTAATTCTATTAAAATTTAATGTTATAGGATGGTAGTGTGAATGAAAGAGAAATTCAGAATCTAGATGATGCTGCATCAGCCAATCAAATACGCATGAACAGCGATCCATTTGAATTAATGCTCATGAACATGGGATACAGATTTCCCGTCCCTCAGCACGAATTTAGCGACGAAGACAGTGAAGATCAGCATGATCAGCCAATAACACAAGCTTTAAATTGTAGACCAAGTTAAATTTTGCAAGAAACACAGAGAAAAACATACTAATGGTGGCTAGATAATTGAGAATTTACATCACATACGTATTATATCTGTCACAAAATTATTTCAATCTCAATTATTTATTTTCTTCTTTCACCAATGTATCTCGAAGCACTTTTGTTGTATAATTATTCAGTCAAAATATCTGTCAATCAAATCAAAGACGAAGTAGAATCTTATTTACTAGGCGTTGTGGATATGTTGATAACAAATAGCGAAAAACTTAATAAGAATTATATTCCGAGTCTTATAAGGTATAGTTAATAATATATCATATTATATTTCTTTGTACAAAATGATTTACTTTTATCCCCTATGATAAGAAAGCTGCACTGACATATAATAAATATTTTATCTTGAGTTTATATGCATTAATACAGAAAACTTAAAAATGTTTTAATGATTTAAAGCAGTGTTCGACATTAAATACACATTTCAGACCGATTCCAGTGAGCGACCCCTACTACCGCTTGAGATTCAGCAGACAGGCGCCGAGCCGCTGAGCGCTCACGTGACGCTCTGGCTCAGAAGCGTCTCTCTAGCTTAAACGTGTGATAGTCGTATCTTACGTTATTAAAAAATATTTTTCTTGCAAAATAATTTTTTATTTTCTTAAAAAAATTAAAAACTAAATTTTCTATTATTAATATGCTACATATAATAATATAGTTGTAGCAATAATACGTGTATAATGATTAGAGTTCCCCAAGAAAAAATGTATTATATATAATTATATAATATTATATAAAACTATATATAATTTTATATAATTGTATTTTTTTATAAATA